ACACACAGACATCAACAGTCAGCCTATGAATCTCAAGATTAGTGACAATTAAAAAAAATGTCATGCTGCAATGCATGCTGGGAGTTTTGTACATTATTATTTTTTTTTTAATTAATAACCATTGTTGAGATTCATTTGCTGATTCTTGATATCTGGTGTGTGTCTGAACGGTGCTGTTGCTCTAAAGAGCTTATGCATAAAATGTTTTTCAAATTTCTTAATAGTTTCTGAACATATCTTTTTGAGTCATAGTAGTAAATGATACTGTGGCCTTAAATTTCTTATCAATAGTGTCTGCATATCTTGTAGAGTTATGTTAGTACCATCAACAAAAAAAAGTTAATCAGCCCACATTATTAAACACTTACTGAAATCAGTGAATCAGATCACGAGATGATGATTTCATCATCATGAACAGTCATCAAAACCACTTCGTTACAGTTTCTTACAGCTTTTGTTGTCATACCAAATGTGCTTTACATACACAGAAACAACAGCAGAGAAAAACTAACATTAAAGCGTCAAGGGTCAAGAGCCCAACTAAAGCAACCACTGATCGCCAAAATGGTGAGGCCAAACAAAACATTTTCAATACAATATAAACCTCGGTTAATTCTCAAATAATTTTTGTAGATATATGACAGAAATAAAGTGAGTCTGGTTAGTAATGAGGGAAGCTGGTAATGCTGTTTGTGGAGTTGTGTAATCCTCCTCTGCTGTTTTATTTTGGTTAATTTCATCTAAGGCTGTGGCTGGAAGTCAATTGTAGTTTTGTTTCTTGTTCTTTCCTTCAGTGATTCTGCTTGTAAACAGCAGCTGATGATCAGTGTCTGAATTCACTCATTTGTTTTCAATCACTCGGTCTAGTGGACTATATAGTGAACTAATGTAGGGAATAGTGAATGAGGGTGTAGGGTGTTATTTCAGACACAGTCTATGAGTGTTGACTCTGAGGCTACTTTCTCGAAAACAAAGGTTAGATCTATTACAGTTATTCACCGTATATAGTAAGGAAACTTACTGTAAATCATTTAACATGTTTTTACTGTGGCATTTCTACAGTCTTTTACCGTTAAAATCACGATCATTTTTTACAGTGTAGATTGTCTCCATGGTCACTGCTTACAACATCAAGCATCTCAAGTCTTCAGTGTATTTTACATTAAATCTTTATTGTCAGTTTATCGTTGACTTATACAGTATGGTAGGTCTGTGGTTTTTTTCTATTTCAATTTGTACTTCAGTTTTTGTGTGGTAGAGAAGTGCCTTAATTAAACCTTTGAATTTCTTCTATTTACAGAGCTGGACATAATTCCTGCAGCAGATAATGAACAAAACAAAGGCAAACACAAACCGACCGGACAAGACGAAGTGGGCCATGCCAAGAACAAAACTTCAGAAGAAAAAGAAAATGAGTCAAAAACAGTCAAAGATATAAAACCACAAAAACCTACCCCTGGAAAGGATAATGTGGGACAAGATGGAAAGTTTGGCGAAGACACGGGCATAGATTTTGGGAGCAATTTTGTAAAAGAAAAACCTAAAGCTGAAAACAAAGATGCTGATAGCAGCATTAACACAATCAAAAAGAAGGAAACTGGAGAGGATAAGGACCCTCTTAAACCCTTTGACAAAGATGCACATTTAGATATCGGAAAGAAAGTTGGAAGTCCAACAAAAGATTTGGGCATGGAATATATAGATATTGTCTTGATAGACAATAGGATGGCCAATAATCAGACAACAAAGGCTGACAAAACCAAGGATGGTGGAATGGACAAAGGACAAAAAAGAACTGATGGACCTAAATACACAATATTAAGCCTGACTGAAGATGAGAAAGACAACATTCTTTATGAAATAGATACCATACACAGAGGGAATAACACTGAATTTTTCAATAGGAATGACATAGAAAATCTGGGGACACTGCTTGAAGAAACTGAACAACTCCCCACAGCTACTACTGGAAATAATAGCACAACAGTCATACCAACAGTGAGCAAAACAACTGACAAAATGACAATGATGGCTAAACCTATGGAAAAGGTCAAAGTGGATACAGTGAATGTAAAGACATCAGAACAGGATTTACAACAAGAGACAAAACAAGAATCTCAACAAAACACCGACATGGAAGGTGAATCTGGGCAGATTATTGGTAATCGCGAGTGTCTCTACGATGCTCTATAAACACCACAGAATGTATGCAATTAAATGTTTTGTAGTGATTTATAGTCAAATTATTTTTGCAAGAATATTTTTCAGCTGACTTGAGTTGAATTATGTGCTAAAACACATATTCCCTGCCATATTTATGATGCTTCAATACAGTTACTGAATATACAGTACAGTAGGGTACAACGGGGCTAGAGGCACACTTTAAGAAGAAAATGTGCGCATATATATATATATAGTGTGTGTGTGTATGGAAGTCACAAGAGGGGCTCACCAGCCTGGGGCAAAAGGCAGAAAGTATATATACAAATACTTTAGCTAAAGTAATATGTTTATGCTTTTAAATTAGTACTTGTTCAGAACAATCACTTTGGCAAAGTTTGTACTATGTTCTTTCTTATAAATATAAATTAATTTACTTTTGTTCAGTGAATACATTGTCACACCCAACTTAATATATTACATTTACCAAATGAAAAAATAAATAAAAAAAGGCAGGCCCCAATGGCAGGTGCACATTTTTACCCCAAATACCATACATTTACTTATTCTTCTGTTATTGAAAAACTGCTGCTTTAATTACTTTGATTCAATAATTTTACACTTTCTACTTAAATCTACAACATAAAAAAACATAAAATATTAGATTAAATTAGCGTAGAATCAACCTAGTATTGCTGTCCATGGATCAGCCAAATATCCATGTGCATATTCGTGGTTAAGAAAAGTGCTGAGGTGAATTTTGGTGCCATCTAGTGGTTTAAAGGAGAATAAGGTCAAATGTGCTGTTTACCCTGGTGCACCTTTAGCCCCAGTGTACCCTACTAAACAGACAACCCAATCAGTGTAGAGAACAAATATGAGCCAGTTCTTTTTAGTGAATCAAAAATATACAACAACCAGTGTTGTCTGTTTTCAAAATGAATTGAAATGATCTGATTCTTTGGCACTGGAGTTGCATTTCTTTTTTTCCAAAATATTTATTCTTTAAAAGTACTACAAGAATTGTTAACGGAACCATTAAGGAACTGGAATTGTTAAGATAGATGTTGGAACTGATAAATTCTTCCCAACTCACATCCCTAATAATCACATTTCTCAAAACAAAAGACGGTAACACTTTAGAATACTGTTCCACCATTAATGAATAACTACACAAGAACACACGAGTAATGCAATAGTAGCACTCTAGTAACTACTAGTATCTAACAAGAAACTCTGGTTAATGAATTAGTAAGTAATAGCCCTTAGTCGAATGTGCTAGTTCACTATTAGCTATGCACTATTACCTCCCCACTAAGAACTACTGTATACAGGTTCATAATTAATGTGAATAATACATCATGTATAATTCATTCTAAAGTGAAGATCATGACTGAAATCATTGTAAGCGTTGAGGTTTTTGTAAGATTCTGGTTAGTAATTCCTGTTGCTAGATTTGGTAACACTTAAATCATTACTAGTGGGTTACCGGGATCTTCACTTTAGAATACGGATCCAAATAATTAGTCGTTTCATCAGAAGGATGTAGTAACACTTGAGTCATTACTATCCAAAACCTTACATGTATCGCAAAAGCTTACAATGACGTCAGTCAATATTAGGGAGTTATGATGCTTTTCACTTTAGAATACTGATCCAAGTAATTAGAAGTTCCTTTAGAAGGATGTGGTAATACTATTAATTATGAACCTGTATACAGTAGTTCTTAGGAGTTCTCCAGGAAATATATA